TCGCGCGGACACGCGCATGGCTCCGCCCCGGCAGCCGGCCGCGCGCTCTCAGACCTAGCTGGGGCCGCTGTATTAGCCGCGAGATTTACTCACTTGTGGAAAGAAACAGGCTTATCCTTATCATATCGGTTCTTGCAGCCGTAGGCGGAACAGGACTGCACCATTCTTGTGGGTCTGTAACTTCACTTCTGCCGCCCTAGAAGGCAAGTAAACGAGCTTTCAGTGTTGCTGAGCTCGACTTTTGAGACACTTGCTTCTTCTGTAGCTTTTCATGAACTGTTACAGGGATGATAGCCACTCTTGGGAGTGACTACTTTGCTTGTTTTGTTGTTTGCATTAGCGGAAGGACCACAGCCATCACCCGTCTCCCATCTCCAAGATGGCGGAGTCAGCTTCAGCCTCACCTCTCGCGAGGAGTTATTCACCTTCTCTGATTAGCCCGGAGGTCAGAGGTTACGTTTCCTGCCAAGCACACCATTGGCTAAGACAAGTCATGTCCTGCGGCGTGCTTAGCGTTGCGGAAGTGGGCAGGATTTCCGGGGTATACGCCGCGAGAAAAGGCGTATTTGCGCAAGGAGACGAGGTCTAACGCCCGAAATTCGTTCTAGTACTTCCGCCACCTCGGGCGATCTTCTGCCCTGATTTGTCTGTACGGTTTTCCTAGACGGCTTACCGTGGTAAATACGGACTGTTGGGTCTGATGATTTAAAGGAAACCAGTGTATAGCTGAAATTGTTGCCTTTGTCCCCATTGCTTTAGAATGGCGGCTGCAGATGATGTGTGGACCTGTTCCAAAGAGTGCTAATCTTTATCTCATTACCTGTCTCTTCAGGTAGACCCTTCGAGGCGAGGATTTTTAGCATGGAAAGAAGACCGTATGTGCTGCCCAGACAGAAGCACTTCTGAAGGCTTTTCGTGGACGCGAAATTTCGAGTGCTTTTGTCTTCTTTGAAACCGCGGGTACAACCTGCTTCCCTGCCCCTCTTGTGTAGTCTCGAGCCTGGGGAGTGGACTGTTGACTAATTCCATGGTCCTTGGGCTGTACTGTTTCTGATACCTTAAATGTTGACGTTTCCCCCAGGATTCTAACTTTTGCCCTCCTTCTCTGAGCACCTTGCCTTTTGAATTCAAGCGAGTGCCATGATTTTTTAAATGTTTTATTTCCTTCGTAAATGCGTTCAGACTTCTGAATTTTCATCTGGGTTAACTGTAAACAGCTCCCTAGACCAGAAACCTTGGAATTACCCATAAAACCCCTTTATCACTGGGTTACTTTTTAGAATAAAATAAGTACCTCTTTAATTCTGTCCCTTTTCATCAGTATTCTTATCAGGCCCTCATAGTTTTCTGGGGAACAAATATAAGATGAGGTTAGAAAGGACGCTAGGAGATCAAACCCAGATGCTTATGTGTGCTAAGCAAGCACTGCACTCTACCATCCCCGTAACAGGCTTTTGAGAGGGGTAATACAAGTTTTAAAATGAACATTTTCAGCAGGATTTAGTGATGCACACGTGTATCACCATTCAGGAAACTGATGCAGGAAGATTGCGGCAAGTTCAAGGCCAGTCTGGAATACCCAGACCCTGTCTTAAAATGCTGAAGGGGAAAAAAAAAAAATGTGTTGCCTGTAGATAGCCTGGGACAGTCCAAAGGTTGGGCTCTGGTATCTGGGTAACAGTGAAAGAGAATTGATCTTTCATTGCATCATCCTGGTTTTCCTTTTATTCATTAAGCCACTACTATGGTGGTAGGCATTATGCTATATCTGGGTATATGTTAGTAAAACAGTTACTTTTGTAAAAATCTGAATTCTTTGCCTCCCAAAATTGAAGAATAAATTTGACAACAAAAGGAGGAATGTAGAGTATTTATTAGAAATAATAAAAGAAAGCTCTGGGTGGAAAGAAGTCCTACAGGCTTTCTTTGTCATAACATTATGTCAATACATTATGTGTATGTTAGTAAAACAGTTACTTTTGTAAAAATCTGAATTCTTTGCCTCCCAAAATTGAAGAATAAATTTGACAACAAAAGGAGGAATGTAGAGTATTTATTAGAAATAATAAAAGAAAGCTCTGGGTGGAAAGAAGTCCTACAGGCTTTCTTTGTCATAACATTATGTCAATGGGCGGTGGTTGTTTCAAAGGTAATGAATTCAGAGTTTAAAAATTGGTTATCAAAGGCAACTTAGTATACTCTGGTAAGTTTCTTTCTGGGTACAAAAAGTCTGTCCTCTATTCTAACCTTTTATCCTCCTTGTGTTTTCTTTTTACGTTTCTAAGCCTAGCTGGCTGCTAGATTAACCAGCTGCTTGAATCAGTTCTGTTATCTGACCCTATGGTTAGGATGTTCTAACTGTCTACTAGTAATAACTAAACTACTACATTAGGCAGACTAACATTTCTTTCTTCACGGGGCTTGTTTTCTGGTGAGGGGAAGGCAGTCAAGAAAAAAGTGGAAGTAAAATAACATTGTGTTAAGGTGCCTCAATACATGGGAAGTGCCGTCAGAGTGCATATTGGAGAGAGAAATGTCACTTCTTACTTTATGTAGAGTAGTTATGTGAGGAGTGACCAGAGGTAGGGTCGAATCAGAAGAAGGACAAGGAAACTTGATTTTGTTTGTTTCCTTAAATACCTTAAACTTAACAAAAGAATTTTGAGAGCTCGGTTCTTCATATAGATATGTATAATAAATACTAAAGGAGTATTTACTGCAATAGCTTGTTAGCCCTAAATTACTTACCTTGTCTCATTCTCTTGTAAGACAGAGGACACCAAGATAAAGAGTACTGGAAGAGATTTTAAGGATTTATAAGGCATAGCTTTCAAAGCAACAATTTCTAGACCCCTGAATCACAGTGCTAACAAGTCTCCAGCCATTGTTCTAATCATCTTGGGTTCTAGGAAAAGCAGAGGCTTACAGATCACCCATGATACCACCTCTCCCAAAGAGGCGCAGATGCCTCATATGGAAAGCAGGGTATCCTCCTACTAAGCAAGAACAACCATCTCATGGGGACTAATTGTCTTTCAAGCTGTAAGGATCCCTCCAGAGCTACAAAGCAGGAACTGAGAATAAGTGACCAAACCCTGGCCCACCTTACCAAATTCATAATGGCTGGTCTCTGTCTTTTGTGAGGTACCAGTCTAAATTTCATTAGTAGTCCCTTCCAATTGCACAAGCCAGAATTCTGTGTTTACCTAACTCTGCTTCATAAACCTGGCTGTACCTCTAACAAGTCCTGAAATTGTTTTCTGTGACAGGAGTTCACAAACCTACTCCATGGAGTGACAGAACCTTTAACCTGAAAATCAGGATGATTTTTATCATCCTGATGATGAGGAATGAAGGTGAGGCTGGAGGGACCATTCCAGGCAGAGGGAATGTGTGCTAAGGCCCTGATTCAGGTCTGATAGTACCAGGCGTCAAGAGTTCTGTATTCTATGAACTGAATGACAAAGCCATGAGAGCAGTAGTGAGGAAATGAAGTGAGCATGCAGTTACCTGTTAAGATATCAGGTGCAGTGGAAAAGTAATCACCATATTAGGCAGGGAAACAAACTGATATTGTACTTTTTTTTTTCTTTTTGTGGTGTTAGAGATTGAATTAAGGGCTTCACACTTGGTAGTCAACTGCTCTGCCACTGAACTACATCCCCAGCCTCTAATAAACATTTTTAAAAGGTCATTCTGCCTACTGAGAAATGACTTCAAGAAGAACAGAAGTGCAAGTGAGCATTTAAATTAAGAGGCTGTTGCAGGCTGGGAATTTAGCTCAGTGGCACTGTGCTTACATGTAAGTGCAAGATCCCGAGTTTGATCCCTGGTACCAAAACAACAACAAAGGCTCTTGCAAATGAGGAAAAGAGGTGGTAGTAGATTGGACCAATGTGGTTGCAGAGGGAGTAGTGCAATTTTAGACATTTAGGTGGTAAAAATGCTACAGTTTGCTGATGAATGGTTATGAGAGTTAGGAACATAGGAATTGAACTATCCACGAGTGACTTGGGCTTGAGTTTCTAGTTTGAATGTCTGGCTTCAGTATTCAGATAGATGGTGAGGCAAGGGCTATATCTGAGATGAAAATGACCTAAATGGAAAAAAAAAAAAAAAAGCTATTTCCCCCAATAAGATAAAAGGATTTGGAAGGGTAAGATTGAAGGCTATACTTTCAGGGATCATTTCTGTCGTTGGGAAGGGAAGACAGACTTAGGAAACTGGGAAATTGTGTGGTTACAAGACTGGGGAATGTCTGAAGAGAAAGTATAAAGTAATCCTAGAGGTTGAGAATGCAAGCTCCTGAAGAAGCAATAGCATCAGCGAGTGTGGAGTGCTGATCTAATTACTAACCCAGAATGAGACCAGCCAGTGTAGTTGGATTTTCCTCAGCCATTTACTGGCTGGTTAAAATTCTCTTCCTCCTCCCCCACCCCCTTTGTGGTACTTGACTTTGAACCCAGGGTTTTTGCACGAAGCTAC